CAGAGGCGGTGCGGTTGGCGCAGGATAGAGCAGGGTTTAGAGCTGTTGTGCATAGGGTCGCTATGAGTCGGAAACGACTTGATGGCACATAATAACAACAACAACAATTAGTAAAATGTGTATGGGGGCTCCAAGGGTGTCGGGGTGGGAGCAGAAGGCTGAGGATGGGTGGGGAGAATAACAAGGTTGTACAATTTTTTGGGTGGAGGGAGGGGGTAAAGGAAATGGGAAAGACCCAATCGGAACCTGAAAAGACGGGGTAATGGTGGTGGGCATAGTTCAGTGGTGATTAATTTTATAAAAAACACAATGTATGGGAATGACTGTATGACACATAATGTCAATGAAGGAAAGTGTAGGGGAGGAAACATGCAATAAAAAAATAAACATATATTTAAAAAATAATGTATGAAGACTCATTCATTAATTGTAACAAGTTCACTAGTTATCTAAGAAGTCACTATTACCTAAAGGGGGGAGTGTATGGGATGTAAAACGCCTAAAAAATAAAGACTGCCAGTAAAAAGAAAAGCTCTTCAAAATGTAAAAAGAAAAAAATGATACCCACTATCAAACCACAGACTGTCCATCTTTCTCCCACAAAGACACTTATAGATTTGAACTACCAGAGAGGCACTATTTAGGTTTGCAATGCAACTCCCTACCGACTAATACTATGGGTTTCCTAAAACGAGAAGATGAGTATTTTGTTTGTAGGAAGTAAAACAACAGTAGTGGTGTTAGGTGCCATGGAGTCGACTATGACTCATAGGGACCCTACAGATCTGAACTTTACCCTAACCTGGGCCATCCTCATGATCTCCAATATGCTCAATTCACTGTTACCAGGTGTGTGCTGGGAAAAGGCATTTCCTTTTCTGAGGTCCTATTTATGCACCAGGTCTAATGATTGACACCTTCTCTATCAGTTGAGTTACCAGTTCAAGAGTAACTGTACAATCTAAGTGTTGAAGCCAGGTCTGAATATCAGGTCTCTACAACCACAGCTTAACTCCTATGAGTTGGTACAGGAATTCAAGCAGGTAATAAGATAGCCAGACTAGTTCTGGATCACTGTTCCCAAATCTGGCTCTATCTTCTAAATACCAAGTCTCCACAGGCATAAAAGATAGGCGACTCAGCTCACAAGCACACAAACTGAAAGAACCCTGAGAAATTACCTGTTGTTAGGTACTGTCGAGTCTAGTATAACTCACAGCAACCTTATGAACAACAGATCTGAAACCTGTCCTATCCTGTGCCATCCTCATTATCTCTGACACACTTGAGTCCATTGCTGCAGTCACTGTGTAAATCCATCACACTGAGTGTCTTCTCTTTGGTTGAATTCCACCTTTCCAAGCATGATGTTCCTGTCAAGGAATAGCCTCTCCTAGCAACATGCCCAACGTATGTGAAACAAAGCTTTATCATGTTTGCCTGCAAGCAGCAGTCTGGTTGTATCCTCTCCAAAATATATCTGTTTGCTCTTGTGGCGGTCCACGGGATCTTCAGTACTCTCCTCCAACACCACAGATCGAAGGCAACAATCCTTATTCATTGTCAAGCTCCAGATGCAAAGCAAGTGACCTTGAAAACACTATGGTCTGAATCGGGCACATCTTAGTCCTCAAACTGACATCATTGCTCTTCAATAATTTGGAGAGGTCCCTGACTGCAGACTTCCCCAGTGCAATACATCTCCTGACTGCTGGTGTCAAGGGTGCTAATTGTGGATCCAAGTGAGAATAAGCTGTTCACAGCTTCAATCTTTTCTCCATCTTCATGATGTTGCCTATTGGTCCAGCAGTGTTAATTTTTGTTTTCTTGAAAAATTACCTAGAGTAATTAATTTTATAGAGTTTTTCCATATTCAGCATCTCTCCTGGGCATAGAAACCCACTTACCCCTGGTTTGAATGATGGCAAGCCCAGCCCTACGCCAATGGTCGCCTTGTTGGGATTCACCACAGAATTGTAGTGGATATTCCGATGGTAGCTGACACGGATGGGTTCATCCTCGTTTTGATGGATCCCATGGAATGTGTTGATGGGTTCTGCAAAGAGAGAGAGAATAAGGTATACAGAACAGGCTTGTAAGGCAAGTTCAGGCAAGGTGCCATCAGTCTTTCACCTAGCTACCAGAGAAGTACCTGTGCTATATTGGTACACCTCCACCGGACGGTTGTACATCTCTGCCATGGCCTGCATCTCAATGTGGTTGCCATGACAGTTGTTTTTCCTCTTCCGATTGATGTAGGTGGTAAAGTCTTCTGTGACATAGTTGGAGAAATAGTCTGCATTTTTCATCTGCAGAAGAGGCAGGAAGGTCTGTGAGAAGAGGTGATCCTCCTACTCTGCCCCTGCCACAAAATCCACACAAAATCTTACCAGATAGTCCATGCAATGTTTTCGTACAACCTCATGCATGTCCTGGTCTCCATACACCTGGTCAGCTATAAGACAGAAGAGAAGACACGCTGGGGTCAGAGGTACCATAAACAACAAATTCCAAGTCAAGGATTAGGGAGACTCAGAGGCTAGAGAAAAGCCTTTGTCACCTCAGTAAGAACTGGGCTGGATATAAGACAGCCAGAATGGTCTTGAGATCAAGAGCTCTGATATGAAAGTGACACAACCAGAGTGTGCTCAGGCACTCAGACAGATAAACAAACACAAACTCCTATAAATGACCTCAAACACTGATTCTACCCTTCTTATTTTCCACATAAGGAACTAGACTCAAGGCAGAGTTTTTTACTGGCTCAAGGTCACACAGTGTCAATCTGTGACAGAGTCAACTCCAGAATTTTATTTTCCGGATTTGTAGGTGGTTGCTGTTATGTGCCATCAAGGCGCCTGCAACTCATAATGACCCTATGTACAATAGCTTTCAACCCTGCCCTATTCTGAGCCAGTCTCACTAACCCCAACATACCTAATCCCATTGCCCCAGTTACCATCTCAATTCATCTCATCTGGGGTCTTCCTCTCCTGTGCTGTCCCTCCACCCTTCCAATAAGCATGATGTCCCTCCTGGTCACGTACCCAAAGTACATGAGATGAAGCTACAAAATCCTTGCCTCCAAGGAGAAACTTGGTTTGACAAGACAGACCTATTTGTTCTCCTGGCAGTCCATGGTATGTTCAATACTCTTCTCCAGCACCACAACTCAAAGGAATTAATTCTTCTGTCATCCTTAAGTCATTGTCCAGCTCTCTGGAACAGGTGCACCTCAGTTTCTAGACTGTAGGTTAGTAAATAAATAAAATATCAGCTCCAAGACTAGTTCTGCCAGGTATTAGTGAGCTGAGTGATTGGGGGCAAGGGTTTTGAGTCTCACATGCCTCATTTTTAAAATGGGGACAAGATGGACCTGATGGGCCTATTATAAGGATTAAATGAGGTAATAGGTATAAAGTAGCTAGCACTAGACTTAGAATGGAGCACTCTATTAGAGATCCCTTCCCTACAATGAGGCTTGAATGTGGAATGCTGAGAAGAAAACGATAGAGGAAAACCCTGTTCCTGCTTGCAAGAAACACAGTGTCCAGAGAGAGAAAAGACACACACACATCTAACTTAAGCCTAAATCTGGAAAGCCAGCCTACAGCCCCAAGGGTCCAGGTATCATCAGTGTAGGTTAAAATGAGAGAAGGAACTAGATTCCCTCCTGTCTTGCTTGAGACATAACATTCTCTCTTTCTAGGATACCCTTACCATCTTCCTCAGCTACATATTTCTCACATACCAGTGTGTTTTTTATAATAGTTTCCTTTTCTCATCCATTCAGGTATACATCTATTATGTGATGTATCAAAGTGGTACACAACCTTTACCTGTCCAATCACTGAACTCTTATTGAGAGCAGTATAGCTCACACTGAAGTCTACTTCTCAACATAGTGAAGAAAATTAGGTAATTTGCTGAATAAATTGATAGGTTAGGGGAGACAAGGAGGTCTTCTCCATGATAAACTAAGGTGGGCTTGGAAATTAAATAAGAGTGACTTCTACCAGTGAACACAACAAGGGAATTTCTGTTTCTCTGAAAGATTATGGCTCTAATGGGTGTGCCCTAGGAAACTGGAAAACGTCAACTTGCTAAACTCTTGATTTCTTTCATGATCATCAGTCTACCTAACTGAAGACAATCAGAAGTATGTAGTCACCATCCTCCTCTTTCTTCCCTGATGGGTTCTGTGAGACAAAGCAAGAGTGCTGTGAGACAGACGAGATCTGCTTCGGTCTCAGATCTTCCTGGGGGCACAAAAACTTGAAAGTAGAGGGGAAAAGTGAGCATTGTAAAGGCAGGAAAGTCTAGACCCTTCACCAATGTAAACAAGGATGTAGGTTCTGTGACCACACTCTCTTACGTCCCCCACCAGTGGCGCTTCTAAGAGCAACTCATGTGCTTGCACACAGTAGGGGCCCCCTGCTTCCTTTCTTAGAAGCCAGGACCATAGAGCCTGCTGAGGCTGCCCAAGCTACTTGCAGAGGATTTTCCCCCCCTCTAGGCTGAGCTTGGGGCTTCACAGAGACAGTGCTGTCAGCAACTGAAGTAAACAAGAATTAAGGGGTTAAGTAGGAGTTGGTCTGCTAGGCTCTTAGATATTTACTGAGATGTTAGAGAAAACTGTAGCTCCTATGGAAAGGTCAATTCTCATTTCCAGACCTGGGAAATACCTATCTGTCCAAGCTAGATCAGTGATACAGATAACGTGAGAGAAAAGGAAGGAACTCAGGGGGATAATTTAATGAAGGTGCCCCGCCACCCTTGTCCCTGATATTGACACTTTTACCTCACTCTGCTGAGGCATCAAAGTCTAGCAGAAAGACTCTGCTGCCTCCTAGCTGTGTGTCACTGGACAAAGCTTTTACCCTGTCTGGGTCTCAGTGTCTCATCCATGGAGAGAGCAACTCTTCCTCCTGTCAGTGTTGACAAAGCTACAAGAGAAGGTTTGCAACAGATGAGGCATAGCAGATGTTCAAGTAGAGGAGCTATCTCTCCCAGAACAAAGACCCCTTCATATTTGTAGCCATTCACACATCAATCGCAATGCCACCAGGAGCAATTAATATGCCTTTCTTCATATTTAATTAATTAATATGCCTTTCTTCATTTTTCTACTTTCTCAGGTAAACGAAAGCCCCAAATGCTGAGCCCAGGCAGTACCTCCTCATGAGACACACGACTGGTCTCTGCCTTTACATGGTCCATGAGTACTTTCTGTACTCTTGGTTTGAAATTTTAGCAAACAAATGCCAAGAGTAACAACACAGGTGTCACAAACCTTAATGTAGGCCAAGTTATGACACCTTTCTACTTACCTAGAAAATATTACCTCTCAATTCTACAATACCACCAATAAATAGTAAGGTGTAACATGTACTTAATCACAGTTTTCTGTGGGGCAAAACTCTACCACACTAATTTACAAATTTTGGGAATCATTAACACAGGAGGGAAAATGTACATCTCTGAACCAAGAAAACAGCAACAGTAATGCCCCCAAAGGGAAGATCAGAAATCTTTTTCAATATAGTAAGGCAGGAAAAATCCAGACCAGGGCTAAGAACACAATAAGTACTCAATAAGGATTAGCTTCCTGAGTCTTCTAGTCCCTCAACTCTGTCATCCAGAACGTCTGAGAGGTTGGCACATGGGGCTGAGGACCAGGACTGAATTTCCCTGTGTGGGGACTGAAGGTAGGTGAAAAGAAGGGATCAGTGAACCTATAGAGGTAGGGGACTGCAGAGAACTTGTTTTGATTGAAACAGTAACGTCTCCTCTTGCTGATGCTGCATCTGTGGGCAATATGCACCTGTCCTCTCAACCCAGAGTCCAGTTGAAAGGAAATCCCCCACTGCTCCAACCTCTGTTCCCAACACAAAAAGGGCTCAAAATTCTTCAGTCTAATACAACCATTAGTTTGAATAAGGACTTACCACATTCCAAATAATTTGATTATCAAGAAAACAATCCTACTTTTCCCAAAATTGATACTGACACACAGGAATGTTGCTTCTGACTCACATTGGGAAGGGGTAAAATTCAAGCATTGGAAACCTAAGCCTATTAAACTTGACATTCTAAGAGCTATACCTGGAGTCAGACATAGCTTCCCTGACTACAGGGCAAGGCTAGCTCTGCAGGCAAAGGAGCCCTTTCTCAATCTTTCCCCACTGGGGATGGGAAGTGAAGGTGACACCAAGTTTTCAAGAGATAACGAATAACTTCAAGTACTACTGGCTCCAGGCAACATTATCAACCCCCAAGCCAGGCATCACTTAAGCTGCCTGACTCCCTGGGGGCCAGGTGTCTGATCCTGTCTGCATCAATTTCCCCTACAAGCACACACCCAGAAATCAGCTGGAGTCTAAAAAAGGTGTGGGGATAGAAAGAAGACAGCACGTTATCAGGATCATACTCTTCACTAGGCCACAGGGGTCATCATGAACATTACTCAAGCCCCTATGTCACTTCTCTTTTTCTGAGCATACAGAGACTCAAGAATAGGAATGTATAACATTACTGGTAAGTATATTCGTTTTCTCCTGGACACAAGAGCCTACTATTTGGTCCTAAAAGCCTTCTGAGGTCTCAACTCTTCTCACTATTTCTTAGTTGTTGGAATTGACGGAAAACCTCATAAGCAGTTCCTTACTTCACCTCTGCCTTGCATGTGGACTTCCGAGTTGTAAAACAACCCAGCTGTAGATGGAATTTGGTCCAGGACTTGAGAGCAATAGATGACATAGCTGAGCCTCTGCATCTTGTGGTTCCTAGCCTTTATGCCATAGTGGACAAAGTGCTACTCAATAGGCCTTTTATTTTAAGAGCTACCTTCCCTCTGTAGCTTGATTTGTGCCACTGTTGGAGCCTCTACTTGGAATATTAATACTTTTTAATTTTTTTGTTAGTTAAATTTGTGTCTTCTAGGCTGCAACACTTCCATGATACATCTTCAAGGATATGAACATGTACGGCTAAGCACATCTGATAACAGTGCATCTGAATTCCAACATCAATCTCCATAATAGTCTATGTGTTTCCTATTGCCAAAGGGACCCTTTAGAGTAGTGAGAGAAGATCTTCACCCTGAAACCTGCAGCGTCCCTTCTCAGCAGGAAGTAGCTAAGACAGTGCACCGTCCCCTTTTCCTTGTGAATCAGGGTGAAGTCTCTCTCAGGGAGGAGTGATAGGGAATGGCAGGGGACGCACTGACAAAAGAGACTGATCAGAGCTGGCTCTTACAAGCACTGTGGCAATTGGACAGTTAGGGCAGACTTTCAAGGGGGGGGGGGAAGAAGAACGAACTGGGGAGGAGGGTAGAGAGAATGGTGCAACAATGAATGGGTGGAAACCCAGAATCTCTGTAAATGTTCATTGAAATTAATACAATTTTATAATTTTTAAAAAAAAAGAATAGGAATGCAGAAGTATGCACATACA